CACAAGATTTATTTTGTAGATACAATCAATTATTTTTTCTAATCTCTCTTTCTTCTCCCAGCCACATCCCAACTAATCTGGCATCCTGTACTATGTTCCTTGTGCTCCACTATCTTAAATCTCCAATTTACTTTGCTCTCAAATCATTCATAACAGGATTGATCAAGCTGTGGGCTAAATGGACCAATGTACTGGTTCACATTGTTAAGGCCTTGATTTTAAAAGGAAATGTAGTTTCATTATTTATCAACATATTTCAGGTGTATTTAAAAACAAATGTAACTGAGGACTTGGTTTCTTTTTGAGATGATGTTACAGTCATTTAAAATCAACAACAACAAATTATGTTTGTATAGCTCCTTCCCATCCTCTTGACTGTTCAGTGTATTCTGTCAAAAACACTTTAATAATGAAGATCTTAAACACTACAGCATGATAGTTTCTGGATAAAGAAATTCCTATTCATATTTGAAGACCGAAATGTTGCTCATATTTGGTATTCATTATAATAATTTTGAATATGCTTGCATTTTATAAATTGAATGTTAGAATTTTGGTTGACAGCCTATTAATCTGCTTATACAGTTATTACATTATATAGGCAGAATAAATAGGACATGGAGCTGATTTGATGGAGCAGTATGTTGCACTAAAATGCTGTACGTGTTCCATTAAATTAAAATGACATTTCCATTAAGTATCTCAAACCTATTACTCTGTAATTAAATGAATTGTGGCTATTGATTTTTAGCTTCCTTTTCCCATTCATATTGATATTGCTTAGGGAGTAGAACTGAATGTCTTTCAATTTGATTAATATTGTGTTCAGTGTCTCCTAGGCATCCTTACTTTCATTGTCTTGTGTTCATTGTTTGTTCATCTTTTAAATTGAGTTTTCTGCTGCTGTTTCAGTTTTGTAATGTCTTCAATTAAAGCATATCATTGGGTTTCTGGTTTCTTTTGGTTTCAATTGTCAAAAGATTACAAGTTAAAATATTTATTGTAAAATATTTAGGCTTTTTTTACCTCCCTTATAGAAAGAAAGTGTGTGTGTGTGCATTCACACCCAGCACATTGTTTGGTTTGAAGGATTATTACTGTACTAGGGGTGGTTTGATGAATGAGGTTTAAATCTAAGAAGGAACAATTGGCTAGCAGCTTTTTATTCCTTTATATACTACAGCATAACAAGTGGAATATATTTGTCCAAGTGAATATTACAATTTCAGCTAGTAGTAATTTATAGCCATGCATATATTTTCTGAATTTCAATAGTTAGATGCCAAATATAAATTATTGGTATGCATCTGGTCTCCGGATTGAATTAAAAATGACAGTTTTTTTCTTTGTAATGATAATAATCCTCGTATTATAGCGCTTTATCACGTCTTCAAGACTTCTCAAAGTGCTTCACAGGTTATACTGTAAAGTGAATTGATTGTATTTTGTGGGCGAAACGCACTGTACAGTTAGATGAAATGACAATCTGTGAACAAATGATTCCAAGAAGTATGGTTTATGTGGCTGTCTTAAACTTAAGGTTCCGAGAGTGTGATAGAAATCATCCTTTCAACATGGTTTCATCTATTTTAATTAATCCCTACAATAATAAAAATAATAATAAATTAATAATAATCCTTGGTATTTGGTATAACTCCTTTTTACATCAAAACATGTCAGAGTACTTTAAAAAATACACAATCATATCACAGAATACTTTGTAAACTAGGTTATAGGTTTTAATGTTTTTTTAAAAGTTAGGTTGCATTTCGACTGAACATTGACTGTGTGATCAGCATAAAATAGCTAAGCATGAAGTTTGTATACACATTGAAAAGAATCACAGTAATTGTGAAATAATAGTTGTTGGTGTGCTGATAAAAATCTAAGATGTGTCATGAGAATGATGGTGTCATTTATAACTAATGAATATGAATATTTTTGAAATCAATAATGAATGTTAAATGTTTTCATTGCTTCCTTGCCACACAGTAGTGCTGAATCTAACAAATGCACAAACGAACATTTGGTTTAGATGGGGGTGGGGGGGGGAGTCATGTTGCAGGATGCACTTTTTCAGTTTCATATTTATGGACAAGAATGCAAAGCTTTTATCATTGTTTTAACCATGAATAGCTTAAATAATTAGAGAAGTTCAATTAGCAGTTGGCTCTTGAGATCTGCATTTAGAGAAAGTAGTGATGGGTGAAATGATGCCATGGGGAAATGCAGAGATAAGAAGGAATGTTTTGGAAGAGCCTGCAGTTCCTAGTTAAATATTTTCTTGTTGAGAACGTGACTGGATTTAAAAAAATCAACCAGCCTCTACTACACCAGTAATTGTCAGAATTAATATCTGAAATATTGAACATAGCCACTGTACTAATCCAGTGTATTAAAATATAATGGATATTGAATGTAAAATTTGGTTTCATTTCCATGTACATTCTGCAGTCAGCCTTGCTTTACAAATTAAAACTGATATGTAGTTAAGCATTGTACTTAGTAAAATTAATATGAACTTAAGGTTGAGAAATAAATAACTCGCCTAGGATAGCAATATTATTTTTGTGGCCCTGATTGCACTTTTTGTTAATCAAATTATTTTAATCAGTAAATAATCTTTTATTGTTTATGTGATTACCAAATAGCTATTGTGAGCAGGAACCTTCTTTTATGTGCCAATTAATGTGCCCCACAAGCTCAGTACAAACTATTGTTTAAACCTGGGACTTTCCAAGTCTGTGTAGTTGTTTCATGTCAGAAACAACGTAAGTGACTTGATTACGGCTGTTGGGAGCTGTTCATTTTTTTTAAAAAAGCGTATTCTGAATGTTTTATTCAGGACTGGGCAACAAGCCTGGTTGTTTTGATAAACTGGAATGTGTGATAATGATTTATTGCTTCTGTCATTTCTGCCATTTTCCTGGCTGTTGTCTTCTGTGCGTCCATTTGTGTGAGTGTTAACAAACTGATATGTTTTCTAGAATAGAATTCTAAAGCATGTTTTTTTTAAAAAAATGCTGAATAGATGGGAGGAGAAACAAAACTCAAAATTAAATCCAATCGCCTGGATTGACCCTTGACTATATAAAACAAACTTAATACAGAGGATTGTAATTTGTTAATTTCCCAGTTGTGCATTAATTCAAATTGTCGGGTCTGAAAATTTAAGAGCCAAATATTTGAAAGTTTAAGTAACTTAAGAATATATGGGGGCTATCTTCCAAAATGTTTTGCTGAAACTTCTCGGACTGCTGAGACTTTAAATTAATGGAGTGAAACTTAAGATCGCCAAAATGCGTTGCATGTTTGCATTTGGTGCTACTGACAAAGAATTGAACAGGTTACAGGTCCCACACCTTTAGCTGGCATGTAACGATGTGGAAAAAAATACATTTTGCAAACTGCAAATTGTTTTACAGTTGCTCTATCTGGGGTTTTGAAGTCACCTCATTTTTACTAATTCTATATATGTTAGTGCTGGACATAATTTAAACAGAAAATGTGTGTGAAGATCAGACAGCACCCAAGGTGAAATGCTTGCCTGAAAGAGTCATACAAAATATAACTCTAATGTAGTTGCTGTGCGTATTTAACTTTGACTGATTGCTTAGGGTATTTGTTTGACCAGCATGGTTTGACAATATTAAAATATGCGTTAGTCTTGTACTCATCAAGGTAGCTGTCATAATAGTTAATATAGAAACAAAGATGCTTTGAAAGCACTAATCACCTTCATTTTCAACTGGTTGGGATAGTGAATGGAAGTGTATTTGAAGTGAAATGATGCATGTTGCAGGATATCGGGAGTTTCATTCAAAATGCATTGTTCAGGGCTACGTTTTCATGAAACAAAGGCATAATTCATGCCTTTAAGAGGCTGGAAGAATTTGTCGATAAATTTTTGGACTGGTTGAGATTAAAATGTGGTGGCGTATCGGCCTTTTTTTTACAAAAAAGTTGTACAAATTAATTCATTGAAACTGAGACTGATTCAATCTAATTTGAACCATTTTTTCTTAATATCTCAATTCTGGCATTATCTATACTTAATCTTCTAATGCATAAATGGAAGTTGTTACTGGATTAATGGAATGTCAGTCTAGCATGAATATCTGGGTATATAAATTAGATAGTTGCATCTTACATGGCTTGGGACAATGGATTCTTCCAGCCCTGCTTTATCTGGATTATATCTTGTTTTATCTCCCTATCATCTAATGATGACATAGTATTGTGGTGTGACAATGTATTGCATGATTATAACCCTTAATTTATTTTGAATTTTATAATTTACACAATTGTTACTTTGAAAGTATTGTTAAATTTGAACATGGAATTTTGGTCATGAAGCAAAATAGATATTCAATTTTAAAACTACAAACTTTTTTGCAAACTTTAGAATCCAGCACATAATGCACATCCCAGCAACAGCTGCTGAATTGAGCAGATTGTACAGAGCAGGAGCAAGCTAGTTAAAATGTGTCCAATAAGTCTATACTGTAATTTTATCATTACATTATCCAGTGGTAAAAGTTATATTCTGCTTATGATTTAGTGTATCTCAAATGTTGGGATGCCCTTAAAAAGGCAATGCATTTGCTGGAAAATGTTTTTTTCATGCACATTTTTGTTTTATCCATGCATTTTCACATTTACATCAAAATAAATTATTTGTATGATCAGTATGTTGTGTTTTTCCTAAATGTATCCCATCAATAGAAAGTCGCATTTCAGTGCTTGTTTTAAGTTTTTAAACCCTTTGAGGACAAGTTGCATCATAACAAATCTTTTGATACGTTAAATGTTGACATTTGTTCAGAACACCATTTCTTAATACCATTTGTTGAAAAGAATCAGCATGCTTTGGTTGAAAAATATTCAGTCCTGAAAGGGTTAAATAAACTTGTTATTTTAAACCAATTATTTTATATGTAATGTGTGTCGCTGCTCTCTGATCTCTGGCAGATGTAATACAGTGCTGCTCTTTTTTCCAGGGAAAGGTAGCCCAGACAGCCTGCATGTCAGCCTGCAAGCACCTATCTACATCCCTGATGCAAATGCTTTTGGATGCAGAGGTGAAGCAGATAAGCATGGGAGCCATTCAGCAGTTCAACCTGGATGTCATTCAGTGTGAATGTAAGCAGAACTTATTTAGCCTAATGGAGTTCAATTACAGATTTTAACCTCATTAAATTGGTCATACAGAGTTCATGCTAATGCCAGATGTGGTAAATCTCAGTTACGAGAGTCAAATGCTTGCAGGCTTAAGTGATCTCAATAGCAGGGGTGAGCACATGTAATGATAGAGCTTTACTACGATGGGGCAGGGTAGTGACCTAGCTAATGGGATTTTTTTCCATAGTTTTACTGAAAGTAAATATGATTGCTGCATTCGCAGACAACAGCTGGTGTTTCCTGTATTTGAAGGATTTGAAATTCTGAGTGAGGATAAAATCATTGACAGATATATTAAAATGAAATACCCAAATTACAAAATCATTTATGAGAATGGATGCTTCAGTATTTCAATTCATAACTAGAATATCTGTATGGTTATTTTGAAAATTCATTAAAAAAAATTATTGTTTCGATGTTTATCAATATTTCATGTTCTCTGACATACTATGTTCCTATAAGGGTAGTAGTAGAGGATGCCAATCTGATTTGCCCTCTTGTCACAAGACAGTGCCACAGTTCATGGGAGAGATGGGTATAATGAGACTAGAGAAAATTGGAGGGAGAGTCATTCTACCCCTCCCAGTCACTCATGCATATCCTCGTTGTAAGGTTAAAATCCCATTGTCAGATGACCGTAAGCAGGTTGTATGCCTCCTTTCTTTATATTGGATGGGAGAGCCATCAAAATCAGAAAGATCTTGGAGTAAAATAACCTCCTTGAGATGACGGTTATACTTGCTGGAAACCATTTGTACAAGGATGTACAAACTCAATTCCTTAAATTGCCAGTCAGAAAATCATCCCTGAAACTAATCAAAGACCTACCATTAGAATTAGATTCTTAAGGTTTGTATTAATACTAGATGGGATTCCTTCTGGGACCACAAGGTGTCGTACCAGGACCCAAGTCAGGATTGTGTCAGTTTGGTTCTTATAAAAAAGTATAACCTTTGCTTCTATCCTTGATCCAGCCATAAAATAAAATTAACTACAATCTTTCTTTGATTATCAGTGCATTGGTAGCCTAATTGATACAAAACCACATAGGCCAGAAGTTAGCTTATGGTGCAGGAACATCAGCAAGAGTTGGAGAGATTATCAAATAAATGTAAACAAAGTGATTCCCTAAGTTTATTATTTTTGAAACATGTAGGTTGTAAGAGGAAGAGAAGGCTGAGGGAAGTAACAATTTACAAAATTTGCGGTCCTGGTACAGAATTAATTGAGAGTTGATAAGAGATAGTGTGGTCAATCGTCATTCAAAAACTACGGAAGAAAGAACGTGTTGAATGTTATATCAGTGCTTAGGTAGGAGAAAGAAAGTAAAGCAATGATCATAGTCTTTTTCATATAACAGAGAAAGACAAAATGAAGGAAATGGAGATGAGTGAAGGATTACCTGTCAGACAGTGAGCTTTTTCCTCTCTTCTGTACAACAGCTTTGAAGTTTTTCAAGATTTGGAGTATATTATTGATTCTTTAATAGATTTAGATTTTATTAAAAGGTGGGAGAATTGAGAATAAAAATATCTTTTTAGCACAATTAGCATTTTGAACTACAGTCTTTGTATAGAAAGTTCAAGCATGGTTTGAGGAGCCTTTGTTACAGTTTCATTAACATTATACAAATGTATGATCTGGATAGAAAAAATATTTACTTAAGAAATGGTATATATTCATTCCCATTATAGAAATAGCTGGTAAAGAGTAAAAACCCTTTTAGTTTATCTTTTCCTAATATTTTATTGTGTTTATTTTTCAGGAAAAAACATTTATTATGCATACAGTATAATTCTCGTGCTAAATCAACAGGAGTAGCTAAAAGTAAAATTCCCTCAAAATCGGACATGCCATTTCTAACCCTTCACCTGCATAAACCTATATTTAAGTTTTAGCAATATGCCCCAAGGATGGCATTAACCTGTACTTAGTTTGCACTGCTACTTTCTTTTGTGCAATCAACAAAACTTCACCTTTGTGCTTTGGTGTTATATAGGGGGGAAAAGGTGTTATTTCGTCATTGATTTATCAGTGTTCGTTTGTAAATGCATTTTAAAAAAAAGTAAAGTTTGAATATAATTTGACGTGAGTCAAAGTGTTGTGCTGTGAAAGTATTTAAGTGACCAATGAGCGGACTGGTCCTCAGAGTTTGAAAATTTTCAGCTGTATGTAATAATCCTTGCATTTGATATAGCGCTTTATCCCGTCTTTGAGATGTCTCAATATGGGACAAATTTGTGTTTAAATTAATTGCTGTAGATTTGTGAAAAGGATTGTACATGGCTAACAGTGTGGATTTTACTGTATGCACAATGCAAATAAGCTTTTTGACTAAAGTAATACCTCCATATGATTTTTTTCAGTGAAAAAGCATAATTGTACTTTGCCTAGATGTTAGCAAAAGCTGCATTGAAGTACTTAGAATAAATGGAAATTTTCCACATTATTTCTTTAAAAAAGTACTGTAACATTTTATACATTTAGGAATGACTTGAAGCAAATGTAGATATTTGAGAATGTACTGTTTTAACATCCGATGTCATTTCTTTCAAATTAATTTGTAATACTTTTATATAAATTTACTTAAATTGAAAAAAAAGTGTTCTACTAGTTGCCTGTATGCTTTATGGTTCCTTCATTGTTTCTGTAAGATGCACATTCCAGACATCACTGTATTGCCTGTGATTTAATGTTTTGAGTGTATCGCTCTTCTCCAACATTATATATGACATTTTCAGGATTAATGGTCATATCAGTGACATTTCCATTAGCACTTTTGTGTGCAAATAACTCACAAATGGCAGGTAGCTTCCTACTGTAATTGATAAATGTGCTAAGAGTTTAATTTACACCAATGGTATCTTTTAAAAGTTCCATTGTTTATATATAAACTAAATTTAATTGTGCTGTTTTGTGAATAGTGTTGCTTTATCAGTGTAGAGATTTCAACAAAATTATTTTATTCCCTCCCTAAAATGCAAATCTGCTCAAGTATGATTTATGTTCATTCTATTCAGAAAGGTGAGACTGGTAAAGATCAACTCAAAAAATCACTTTGGGTCATTGCTTTCCTTTTTTCCTTCTTTATTATCCCTCTATTGCAGTCTGACTGGCTCCAAGGTGACCTGTTTGGCAACAGAATGTCAGAATTATGTCAACCCTCTGTGTTACACTCAGTAGTCTTGTTTGTGAGTCAGGCAGGTCTGCAGTATTCCAAGGCACTGCTGATGACAGACCCGCCAGCCTGGCTTGTCAGCAAGACTTCTGGGGCAGATAGTCCCTGGGGGCTGCAAGCCAAAGCCCTAACAGGTAGCATGGTCCTAGCTATATGAGCAGCGGAAGCACACCAGACAGCATTCACAATAGCAAGCTATGAGGTTGTAGTTGGTTAAACTCCAGTGGACCCCCAAAATCTTATTTGCCATCCCAATATTTTCCAGAAATAGGTAAGCAGGCTGCATCCCTGCAGGGAAATAATGCACATTCCATTCCATCCTAGGTGGCATGTATATGTGTTAGTTTCAACTGTAACAACTGTCTTTGCTATAAATAGTCACACTTCAATATTTGTAATTGTGTAAAATTTACCAGTTCTTTCAATGAAGATCTAAGAAAGAGAATCTAGGCATTGTAAACACCTCTGGATAGTGAATTAAAAATTGAGCATGATTGCTGCAGAGATTTTCTGAAATTCAGATCTTCCTTTTCTCTGAAGTGAAGAAATTAACAAACAAATAAGATGTGTGCTCTGGCTTGGTGCACTTGTCTAATTTTTTCCGCCACCTTTGTGGCATCTATTCCATTGTTTTGTCTAAGCTTGCTTTAGCTCAATAAGTCCAACACAAAAATAACTTGGATTTATATAACGCCCTCCATGCCGAACGGTGTCTCAGAGCGCTTCACAGTAACGGATCCCGGGACCAAGCCAGGGGGAGGGGAGGGAAGGTGACCAAAGGCGCGGTCGAAAAGAAAGGTCTTCAGCAGAGACCTGAAAATGGGAAGAGAGGGAGCGAGACGAAGGGAGTGAGGAAGGCTGTTCCAAAGCCTCGGGGCATAGTGGCTGAAGGCACGGCAGCCAAGGGTGGAGTGAAGGACTCGGGATGAGGAGGAGGCCAGACCCGGAGGAACGAAGGCAACGGGTACTGTTTTGAGGAGAGAGGAGGTCAGAGAGCTAAGGAGGTGCAGAGGAGTGCAGGGACTTAAATACAAGGGTGAGGATCTTGAAATCGATCCTTAATATTAATAATAACACACAATATTAAATATAATTTAATAACACACAATATTAAATGCTTTGGAATATACCAGCCTTTGTGTGCGTTGCCCTTGTTGATCGTTGTTTCAGGGCAGAAATTATATTGCCTAAATCAGTCAAGAGTAGGGTTAGGATAATACATTACTGCTCGTGTGTGGGAGGGGGGTGGGAGTGGTAATTAGCAAATTAGCAGAATACAAGGTAAGTCTCACCGCCCTTATGAGACTACCCAATAATTTCCTGATTGTGATGTGTCAACTCCAATTATCAGAAAAACACCAATCCGCTACTGGAGAGGAAAGGACTGGGGACTTCAGCCAAATTTGTTCCCTCCCAAATACCAACCGTCTTCATCTACATTGATTTATTCTGTTTTGATTGCTGACATAGTTTCATAAATATAGTTCTTAAATAATATTCTTTTGCTTACTTGCATTTTTCAACTTAAGAGGGTGACTGATTTAAGCAATTTAATTTCCAATTATCATTGCAAATGTACCTACTATCAACTCTTTAATTGTCTTGAGTATTGGATGTGTATTTGCCAGATGGGCATTAATTACTCAAATTAAAATGATTTTTATCAATGCCATAGTGTTTTTATGTGAGAATCAAAAACTTTACCAACGAGATGAACTGATTTGCAATTCTAACAGAAAAGCTTGCCATACAATGTCTGATTCTAATACTTCCAAACTGTCCATTTCCTTTTCATTATTTTAAAACCCTCTTGAACACTCATATTTATAAATTCCATTATTAGAAACGTCTTGCATTGCAAGTACAGACATTCCAGTTAAGTACAGATTGTGATGCTTGGAGCATTCCACCTGTTGTCTGCATGTTAAGCTAGTTCCCACCCTACTGTCTGTCTTTAATTGCTGTTTGGCTAGAGGTAGGATTTTTATTGAACAGATGCTGTAACAAAGCAGATGTTTGAAAATATGTTGACAGCCATGGAATCAGTATTTTCTCAAAATACTTTTGTAATCATTCACCCTTAGGGCCAAGAAATTAAAGTGAAAAAATTGTCTAGCCTTGTTTGCAGCACATAACTTTTCACACATGAACACTAACATGTAGTTCAGTGGTTAGAGCACTCACCTCACAAGCGAGAGACCTGGGTTCGATTCCCGGCAGGGCGAAATGTTGGGCATGTTTCCTTACTCCACATGCCTGTGTTTACCTAGCAGTAGGTAGGAACCCGGTTGTTAATAGTCTCTCAAGAAAAAAACCCAATGATAATTTGGTAACTCAATCCATGACTGTTTGTGGGACATTGCTGTGAGCAAGTGGCTGCTGTGTTTCGCCTGCAAATATACAGTCAATACACTTTACAGTATATTCTGTGAAGCACTTTGAGACTTCTAAAAGAGGTGAAAAGTGCTATATCAAATGCAAGGATTATTATTATCCTGTGGTGTAAACTGACTACCATTGGGTAACATTGGTGTATTACAATTGCAATTGAATTGAGGTTAAATGTATACAAACAAACTGAATATATGTGACCTTTCTTTATAATAATTTAACGTTCAGATTTATTTGCCTAAAAATGTTAAATAAAATACTTTAAGCTTCTGACTCACTAATTATTTTTGCTCATCATCTTGCCCTCAGTGTTTGCAAGCTCTGAACCCGTGCCAGGATTTCAAGGGGACACCTTGCAGTTAGCATTCATCGATCTCAGACAAGTAAGGCTTTAAGATTATTTTCTCTTGATGAGTGATGCTGAATGAAGTCAGTGGTAAAAGGCCAGCCCTTGAAACTGCGTGCTAATTGGCTTACGTTATTTTATTTTCAAGAAACTGCTATGTCCTAATCATCTTTGCTGGATTATAATACTCTGCGCCATGACAAAAGTGGGACCTACTATTTGTGTATTGCCCACAAGATTCTTCAGTGAATTCTGATGTGCAGCTCCATTTTCTTCTTCTGATGTTTAATGTGTATTTTGATACTCATTGTATCAAATTATGTCTGTTCGTTTTGAACACCAATCAAGTGCATTCTCAATTAACTGGTATTTGATTATTGATTATTAGTAGCTGTAATTATTAGTAATTATTAGTGATCTACTTATTAGTAACTAGATATATATTTTTAGAGTAGATAATATGTGAATCTAATTTTGATTGGATGGGGACATACAAAGACATTCTTATTCATGTACCATCGTCATTTTGGAAAACCGAGTTTGAAGTGGTTCTTACCTTTTTATCATTTGCAGTTGGAAAAGGGGCTATCACATGTGGCACTGAGCTATACAGACCTGAATAGTTTAGGTTTCATTTCAAGTTTGAGCTGAGTTAGATGTTCTCAGGCAGGGTAGCAATGGGGTAGAATAACTGGCCTCAGTGCACCTGAATTTGGTAGTAGACATTCAGCAAGAGATCCTACTGTTGATCGCTATCCAGTGACAACTCTTGGAAAGTGTACATGTGAAGACAGGTTTGGGCATCAGCATTGATACAGCCCATGGTCAAATAGCCTGTTGACACTTGCTTTCGTGGCTCACAAAAATGAGGAATAGCCTCTGGGTGAGGTACCTGATGGCTGCCAGTGCCTGTGGAACTTTACTCCAGCAACAGTCAACACTTTCTACAGAAGAACATGAAAGAGGAAAAAATGCAAAAAAAAAATTAGCAGTTGAAGAGGGTTGTGTAACTTTGCTGAATTTGAAAAGTAAATAGGTGAGCGTGTTAAGATTTTTTAAATGTTAATTTAAAAATCATTTTGATTGAAGTGTGAAGTATAGAGATGCTAATTGACATTAAGCTTATACATTTTCCAAGAATAAGCCAGTGATGTCCATTTTGATGTTAACTCTGGCAGGGAAGACAGGAGAAAATGCTTCCTGTTTAAAGTGTTCCTTCTAGCTAATCTTTTTAAATGGCTGTTAGTGTTACTTGAATGGGTAAGATTGTTAGGACGGAACAGTATGCTCTTACAACTCAGTTGAAAATTTTAAATCTAGATGTTTTTCTTAATATTTTAATATTTCCTTGATCTTCCTTCAGGAGAGTTCAAATATCTCCATAAAATTTAAATCTAAAAGTTGGAATTTCGCAGCTGAACTTCCCCTGAAAAGACTGACAGATTTAATTTTGTATTACCATTTTTCTTGTAAATAAGTTAGCTTATTCGAGAAAACTAACACTAAGTATTCACCAATTAAACTTAAATAAAACTACTTGATAATTTTATTAAATGTTGACCTGTGTATTTAAGAAACTTATATGCTAACCATAAAGCTTAGTTAAACTGAACTGGCATATCAGTACACCTGGTATTTTATTTGTGATTTATAATTTTCACAGTGGGCATATTTTCAGTTGAAGTACTGTATTCTAGTGAAATGAAAGTGAATACATTACTGTGACTGCTGGGTAACGATCGCTATCTTGAATCAGAATAAAATCTGAGAAAGGAAACAAATACCATGCTAATAGCTTCAGGTTTGATCAGATAACCAAGATCTTACTTTTATTTTCAGTCCTTTCCCCAATTCTCCATCCATCAATATGTGAACATGGGATGCTTTAGATTAAACCTTGCTCTTTTGTTTGTTGTGCAACAGCTTTGGAGCAGTGTTCTCAAAGGGGATCGTGGATTTTTCCATTAATCAGGCAGCTTGAAACATCTTTCAACTTCACTGCCTTGTGAGTGACAAAATGTTGGGAATGCAGAAGGACACAGGCACTTGTGTAAATCAGCACCCACCTGCACTAGAAGTACCATGTGCCAATTTCCCTGTCATGCAATCCTATGATGCATTTATTTTTTAATGTGATAGATGACATTTCTTTTCAAACAGACTGTGCAGGAAACGGTGCCTTTTATCAGGAACTTCTCTGTTGGGTCATCTGGCTGTTTCATGTACTGTTCTCCAGTTCGAATTTGATACTTTTCCATGCCTTCGAGGTTATGAAAGATAAGGAAGTGGATCCAGTGGTCAGGTTTTACCTGCCCACCCTGACTGTGCCCTAGGGTTAGACTCCTGATACTAGCACCGCTTTAAAGAAGAGTTGATGACAGGTAGAGACTGATACCAAGGAAAGCCTGAACCAAATCAAAGCTAAAAGGCAAAAGGCTTGGGATTGGATGAGAGACTGGGGCTAAAAGATAGATCAGCAGGATTGCCCTTTTGAGAAAAGTAGATGACCCGAGCTCGAGAGGTCATGATCCCACTGCCAATCACTTGATCACTAATGGAAGTTAGTTGTCTCTAACAGTTCCCTTTTTCCTTACTTCAAGGCTGTGGATGGGCAGAATTATTTAAGATAGGTTATGGGAACATGTATGCTGTTAATGCTTGAAAAAAAACTAATGAAATAACATAACATCCTAAGAAGCCAAACTATTGAAATCTGCATCTTGAAGAAATATTATTTCAATTCAAATTGTAACTAAAGAATATTTAGATGTTGTGTAAAGATTTAGACTGCATTCAAAATTGTACTGTTGGCATTTTAAACAGAGAAGCATCTTTCATGCAAAATTGCCTACTGTTAAAATTAAAATGTCTGTATGTGTGTATATATATATATCATATACATGAGAAAATTTCTAATTTTGCCAACACACTGAAACTTTTGCAGGTAGCTATAGTATTTGTTTCAGAGAGTGTAGGCAAATCTTTCAAGTGATACTAATCAGTTCCTCCTACAGAGCTTTATTTGTTGTGTAAACATTTTGCAATGTATAATGTCATGGAAACAAAATGCAAAGTGTCAGTCTTAGTAACAGTTTTTAAATCTTCATTCTGATTTTAGTTTTCAAGTGAAAGAATGGGGAAATGAGCAACAAAATTGACTTAAGACACGTTTTAAAAACAATTGGAGTGAGGGGCATTAGAAATGAAGACCTGACTGCATAATGTTTTTAGTGGTGGTGAGAGGGGCTGATCCTAATTTCACTGGAAGATGGTTTTGAACGGTTCCTTGCAACAGACACTCCATTTGAAAGAGGATGTGAAGTATTTGCAGGCAAGAGTAGTAAATGAGCAAGTCTTAGATTAGCTACTTTACCTTCAGTTGCCTTCAGATTCTCACTTGTGTCCATAAAAGAGGTAGAGGGAAATTCAGGATCGATTGTGATCTAGAAGCTCTTGTAAAAATGTTTGACAATGTTTTCCTTTAAATAATTTTGTGTATTATCTGAACTGTTAAAAGATTGCACTTGCACTGAGATAATCAACATCCGCAGTGAGGGAACAAAATGGGAATGGGAGTCAACTTGAGCTGTGCTTATAATCCTCCCAGCAGCTTGTTTATTGACAACATTCCTCATTCAGAGAAACTTGTGGCTCAAGGGAACTAAAACATAAGAGAAACAAAATAACTTTTAAACTGAGGGAAAACTCTATTCAATTAAATCTACCCAGTATGTACTAATTTTGTATCCAGTGAACTTACATTATCGTGTAGTCCTTGCATTTGATCACAATTATTGCAAACCTTCAGTGTGCATGGTGTACCAACTGCATGAAAATGACTAGAGCCTCTTATCTGTTTACCCAGTGCTAGCAAAAAAACCTAAATGAAATAAAAATATTTTTTTGTGTTCCATTTTACTGTATTTATTATGAAAAATAATTGATACATGGAATAAATTTCCTGGTGGTTATTATATCTGAGGGTTCAAATTCTATCAAAGGGCCCAAACCTTGGAGCACATTTTTGGAAATGAACTTACTGGAAACAAAATTCATACGAATAAGTAAATACTGATATCTGAGTAACTTATTTTTTTATTTCTGTAAACTTGCCTCACAGTATTTCACAGGATTGACTGTGTGTCTGTAGTCAAACGTGGCAGTCAATTTGCACGCAGCAATATACTACACAGAACCATGAGGTTAATGTCCAATTTTATCTGGGAGATTAATGGCTAGAATATTGGGAGAAACTCTCTTTTTGAATGGTGCCGTGTGTCTTTGAATGTCCACCTGAACAGGCTGATGGGATCTCAGTTCAGCATCTCCTACGAAGGACAGCACCTCCAACTCCGTGTTCAGCATTGATCTAGGTGGTCAGATCCAACATGGGATTTGAGAAACTTGCCAATAATACAAAAATCTCAAACTATTTCAGTGTAGCTGGAATATTGACAAGGAGATGTATTTGATAATTTCCACAGAGTTGTAGTAGTCCTTGCATTTGAAATAATGTGTAGAATGTGAATCATCTCAAAGTGTTTTTCACAGGCTTTTATTTGACTAACAATTTGTGCACAGCAAAGTACCACAGATAGCCATGAAGTGAGTGAGCAATTTTAAGTTGAGAATTGTTGGTCAGGACACTGCAAGAAACTCTGTTTTTGAATCTTGTCATAGGATATTTAACATGCACCTGAACAGGCAAATGGAACCTGGATTAACATCGCTCCCAAATTATGGTACCTCAACAATCCCTGTATCTCTTATGGTTGTTTTAGGGGGAAGGGGTATTTCAGTTTCAGTTTCTGGCTGTAAATGAAGTATTGTGCTACAACTGGTACTTGAAGAGTGGATCATAGCACTTGAGGACTGAAACAGTAGGCAAGATTTATTTAGGAAGGAAGAAAAGAGTAAGGAACTGGAACAAGAGTCTGTGGAGTGATGCATTTTAAAACTTTACTTAACAATGTCCTTTGGCGTGACTCTTTCAACACTTTCTGCTTTGTTCTGGATTAGCCAAATTGCCTTTCTTAA